GATTGTTGTTCTGTCACTTGATCGGGATGCGATCCTTTGCTCTGTTCAGAGTCCTTCTCCATATTTGATTGCCTCACCATTGAAATTGTCATACTTTGCTCAAGTTGCATTGCGGTTAGGCTCAATACCTAAATTTTCTCCCTCATTTTGAATAACCAGATCTCTAGTCTTAGGTTTAATACCAAAGAAACTGAGAAAACTATCCACCCTGTTAAGTTCCGATGTTGGAGTTACATTGGGGCAATCAGCATCATCCTCTGCAGTTATATAAGAGCTTCTTTGGTCATGTCTATTGTTCTGCATACTTGGATTTGCCTCCCAAGATGTGCTCTCAGCTTCATCAGGCTCATGGACCAAAGAGAAGCCACACTTCATCACCTCGCATTCTGCAACCTCACTTGTACCATTTGTCACTTCAAATCTTAAGGAAACTTCATGAGCTGATAAAAAATGTTGACGTTTCTTGAGATCGAACCAAGAGGTGTAGCCAGTGAAGACATGGTCTGACTTAATCGTATGTGGCTCATCCCCTTGTTCGGACCAACCACCAACAATGAAACTTCCGGGGCTCAAGGAAACATTAGTGAACTCACAAGTACATTTTACTTGGAGACTGTTGTGTTGGTCTTTGTACTCCTTAAACGAGACTACAACACACAGAGCTATTCTAATAAATCTACCCTCATTCCACTCTCGAGGCAGCTCCAGCTTTAAGAGAGATCCCAATGCTTGGTGGTCAAACCATGCAGGTACTTCACATCCAGGAAAGCAAGTACCGATCAATGATTTAAAAACAAAATCCTGCAAAATTTAAAGAGCAATTCCAAAAGAAAAAAAATCATAAAATGCGGATGTTTAAGGATAGATTATAGTAAACTTTAGAAAAGGTGATTACCTTATTATATCGATCATTTGACATTAATGCGCTTTTCTTCTGAACATAAGATATGATAGCATTCTTTGAGACTTGTTCCAGTTCTTGACAGTTAGTGAAAATGAAGGTGGAATGCATCTGCTCGGTTGGCATAAGAAGGGCTAGTGGACTTGTAACTGTTCTTAGTGATGTACAACCATGTGCATTTAAGCTCTGGAGATTCGGTGGAAGACTTGGAAGAGATGTGAGATTCATGCAATACTTCAACTCGAACCACTTCAGATGGAACATTTGACCCATGTCAAATTGTAGGGTGCATATTTCATCATTTCTACTTAAGCATAGATGCCGCAGAAAAGATAAGCCCGAAATGTTTCTTGGTATCTCTGTTATTGATGTTCCATCAAGAAGTAAAACCCGCAAACTTTCCATGATCTCCTTAACATCAGGGATCATCTTGAGCTTTGGACAATTAGAGATTTTGAGTTCTTGAAGAGATTTCATCTTCCAAAGACAATCAGGAAGAGTCGCCAGATTTTTGCAGTCTTTAAGATTTAAGAAGTTAAGCCCTTGGAGATCACCAATGGCTTGAGGAAGTCCACCTATTGCAGTGTTGTTTAAGTACAGAGTTTCTAGGTTATCTGAAATCACCTCAAATGTCTGAAGACTTGAGCAACCACTGAGAATGAGAGTCTTCAGGGAATCCATAGTGATCTTTGGTAAAGACAAGAGACTTGTGCATCCTCTTAGGTTAAGGAAAACTAGACTTGTCATCTCTTTCATCTCCGAAGGTAACTCCTTCAAACTCGTGCATCCTTCGAGGTTTAATCTCAAAAGACTTGATGCTTTTGATAAACCAGACAAGGAACTCAACTTACTTGAATGACTAAGATCAACCCACTTCAGATTTGGTGTAACCTGTGATGATGACCAAGTAAAATTTCACCATAATTCACAAAAAAAAATATAAACAAGCCTAATTTAGTTTAAACTAATTGAAGAGATACAAACCTTAACACCGCTCCACAGTCTAGTAATCTTGCTGTAAGGCAATCTAAGATCAATAAGATTCTTGGGTTCAAAGTCTGATGGAAGTTCTTGTTCTGGGAAGTGTACCCAGTGAAGATACCGGATAATATTATCTTTTGGGAACTCAAGTCCATCCGGTAAGTTTAACTTGCACTTAGCTTCACAATTCCTAGAACAGAGAGAATTGTACACTTTCAAGTATCGTAGATTGCACATACCGATGAAGGCTTGGTTGTCTAAAGGCATTTCCTCCATTTTAGTCATGTCTAAGGCAATTCCTCTAACCATCTCTCTTCCCTGTAGATCAAGTAAGAAGTAGAATAAGTTATTGCAAGCAGAATTGTTAACTCTTGTAAAGTAAACAGTTTTAAACTTTCTTAACACACCTCTTTGTTTCTCAGCGCATTAGTAGACATACAATATTTCCAGGTAGTAGCTTCAACAAGTTCCTTACCCATTGTAAACAGTAGTTCATGCATCTCTACTCGACCATTAGAGACGTGAATGAAGAACTTGTCAACGAGATCTCTTACTTCTCTTCCAGCTTCAACAGACTCATGAGGGTCAACAGAATCAAGTAAACTTGTTACACAGTTCTCATTCTCTGATCTAAAGAAACAGACTATATCAAGAATCGCATCCTTCTGCTTCTCATCCAAATCATTTTCAAAACTGTTCCTCAAGACTCTTCGTATCTCCTCATTGGAAACTTTTGTCAGTGTTCCAAGTCTTGCTTTCCATTGACCTTCCTCTTTCTCCTTAAGCTCCTCGCCAAATGCCAAGAGAGCTAATGGATTACCTCCTGCATAATCCAAAAACTTTCTAGACATCTCCATGAAGTTTCCCTCAAGATTACGACATATTTGAGCCGTAAAGAGCTCTAAGCCCTCTCTCTCGTTCAACCCGGGAACCTCATAGATATCACAGACTAATCCCTCGGTCAATGACTTGAATAATCCCTCGATCAATGACTTGTCCCGTGTCGTGATGATGATCCTGCTCCCTTTCTTAATCCAGTCACAGTTCCCAAGAAGCGGTTCCATCTGTTTCTTGTCCCTCACGTTATCGAAAACAATCACGACTTTCTTCTCGCCTAGAAGATTTTTCCAAACATCAAGTGCATTCACATCTTCGAAACTTAAATCTGGATAATCTTCCATCTGCAACCAATCTGATTCATAATCCTTCGGTTTCTGACTGTCGAACTCGATAAACACGTGACGAAGGATCTTTGTCTGAAGCTTGACGAAGAGTTTATTGGCGAGATCGGTTTTGCCGATTCCAGGCATCCCAACGAGTCCAACAATACGAGTTTCGTCGTCATTGCACTCAACAGCAAGCTTTTCTACTAATTGCTTCAAGCGTTGTTCCTCTGGTTCAGTGTTGTTTATTGCTCTGCTAAAAGATTGTTGGGGCTTAGAGCTTCCTCCTCCCACTTTCTGTGGATTAGGGTTGTGTCCTCTTTGCCGAGAAATTTGACTTAGGGCATTCTTAACTTGTGTGACGATCGTAGACACGAAATCGTCCTCTTTACTG